GAAGAAAAGAATAGAACTTTTCTTCCTAATGAGCAAAGCTGAGTCAAGCTTCATGCCACACTCCTACAGGAAGCAAATCAAGGAATTGTGTAGTTCACAGATGGGTGGCTGAAATCCAATGCTTCACCCAAAGTGTTTGTGAAAGTACATAATCATGGCATGGGCATCAGATGAAACAGACACCTACAATCTTGCACATTTCTTTTTTCAAATTCTCCCTCCCCCGTTCCCACCTCCCTTCTGCTGGTTGTCTGCTCCTCCTGCTACCACTGTCCCATCACTGCCCATGTGCTCCACCCTCTCCCTCCTTCCTCTGCCGCCACTTGCATCTGTAGCCCACAGGAGCTCTGCTGTGCTATCCGTGCCCTCGAAAGCCACGGGCTTCTCCATTGAGCCCAGGGGGAAGGTTCACTATCACTACAGGGCACACAACCATGATCATGCCTCCTCCGCCACTCATCTCCTTGCTTGGGGACAATTGCTTCTCGCAAAAGGTGAGCCTGCAGCTTGATGAGCTCTGTACCTTTGGCACCAATGAAGTGGTGACTCACTGAAAGACTACGGTATGATCTGCGGCTGCCTTCCCACGGCCTAAAGCTGATGTTCTGAAGCAGCATGAGATCTCTGACTCACAGTGTTTGAGACAATGCATATCAGATATATTTTTTTGTCTGCCTCTGTTGCTGTTAAGAAGCTTCCTTGTTCCCACTGTCTCCCTCCCAGTTCCCCATTTGCTATTTGGTTGGAATCCAAAATATTTATCAGACTGCATGACAGAGAATGTCAAGTGTGTGAAGTGCCCTCTTCATCACCACCCTGCTTTTCCATCTGTGGCTCCCTCCTTGTCCTCAGTTGTGTCTGATTGTTACCCATCAGCATTGTGACTGAGATCAAACTGTGTTTATCTTATGCAGGATGACATGACTCCCTTTTACAACACTCCTCCGCTGGGAAAGAGAGGGACTTGCAGCTATTTGACAAAGGCGGTGATGAATCTATTGCTGGAAGGCGACGTGAAGCCCAGCACAGATGACCCCTGTTCTATTAGCTAAAAGCAGGTGGACAGGATGCTGTATCTTTAGCAGTTCCGTTTGCTTGGCATGTGATGTTCAATTCCTCACTGTTCAAGGGATGCCGTTCGGGTCCCTGTTATAAATGGCCGCCGTGACAAAGCTCAGACACTTAGGGTAGCAAAAGCACACAGCTGATTCTGTAGTAGCCGAGAAGCTCATTTAATCAAGCGCCGTATTCCTTTCCTACGTCTCCAATGGCAACCTGCACTCTCCACCTAAGCACCGCGGTCGCGAGTCGGCAGAGCAATTGCATGAAACGGCTCGTGCTGATTGAGACTTTGGATGTTTTAGAAAAAATTAACTGGGCTCGTATTTATAGTTTAAGCATTGCTTGGGAATGATTGCAGTGATAAATTTATTTATGTAATAGTGAATTAAATGCGCGCTGAAAAATTTATCAGCTCTCCCCCTTCATTTGTATTGTAATTCATTATTGAAAGGCTTCATTATGAATACTGGATGAAATACAGGCATAAATTTTAAAAATAAATGAGCCCCGTGTTTGAAGTTGAGTTACTTGTTAACTCCAAGAAGATAACTGTGACTTTGGATCTGAGTGCTCCCAATGAAGCTCAAGGATAAAATAAAACAACTGTGTTCTATATATGCTTTAGAATATTTCTGTGATCAGTTCTTCCGTTTAATAATTGCTTAGCATGCTAATTGCTTAAACACATTCATTTTCTGCAGTTGAAAATGGGAAATAATTGTTATGTTGGAGAATATCTTTTCACATCACAGATTTTTCTTTGGCCCAGTCCAGACACCTTAAGGGACATGATTTTAAATTAACCTTTAGAGAAGGTCCCCTAGATCAAAGAGGACAGTAAATCATATTAGAAGAAATGCCCTGAATGAAAAAGCTTATAGTCAGAACCCACTCCCATCTGCAGAGCATGTCTGCGAAGCAGAATTGTATCCGTGCACATAAGTGGACTAAGGTGCATCTGTTGTATTTGGAAGCTCCTGGGTTCAATCCCTGTTCTTAATCCAGTTACAGGGAGCTAGGAATGACCTCTGTGTAATCCCCTGGAGAGCTGCCAATCCTGCTCACCTAAATGGACTCCAGGGTCTGGCTAAGGCAGTGTCTTACACTCTGTTTGCCTGAATGCACCTCCACATAAAAAAGAAAGAAATTAAGAAATCTGCCCTTACACCAGGTCAGACTCTATCTAACTAACTAGACCAGGATTGTCTCCTATGATTGGCAGCTGCTCTCCAGAGGTTTAGGCAGGAAAAAGGTCCTCCCCATCCTCTCTGATCCTTCTCACTGCAGAATGCCGGGGACTAAAGCTGGGATCTTCCGCATGCAAATGGGGAAAGGACTAGAGCAGAAGGGCTCCTGCATGCGGAAGGTCCCAGCTTCAATCCCCAGCATTTCCAGGTAGGACAAGGAAGTACTTGTTCCTTGTAACCCTGAAATGCTGCTGGACAGTCAGTGTAGACAGTACTAACCTAGATGGACCCAAGGTCTGACTTGGTATAAGGCAGATTCCTATGAAAGAATGTGCTCCCAAGCCTGAGCTATGAGCCCTCTACCCAAGAACACCTTGCATGTGGGAAGAAAAAAACTAGTTGAAGAATTAGTTGGGGTGAACAATTCTGGCCTGTGCTAGTTTTGTGCATGCAGGAGGAATATTCCTCCCCAGCAACAGCCTGAAGAGGAATAGTGCGGCAACGTTTTTACTGCCTTGCTTGCAGTTTGAACTAAACCTACTGATTCCAAACAGAGAATGAGATTCTAGAGCTGAGGATATTCACAGACACAGTTTACAGCCCTTGTTTGAGGTGCTCGGTTCTTATGCATTCAAAGGAGCCTTCTTTACGGTCGTCACCACCGAAGCGAGGACATTTTCAGAGCCAGGCTCGCTCTTGATTGAATCTTCTTCTGTGTATTTTCTATGAGGACAGAGCCCTGCTTAGATTTTGATCCAACTTTGATCCCAAAGGTAAATTCCAGGTATCGTAAGGCTGAGGAGATTGTAGTGCCTCGCCTCTACTTCAATCTCAAAACATTCTAGGGAGATTATCTGGCATGCATCGGGATAGAAACCTGCCTTAAAAGCCTCCCGTTATTAGAAGGGGTGGGTTGGAATTCAGAAAGGAATAAAGTGCAGTTTCTGCTGTAAAAATGGAAAAGGCTCTCCCAATGCAAGATGGATTATGGCCTGTTTCACAAAGGCACTTCCATCCAGTTGGAATGTGTTCCATTCAGTTAAGAGTACATCGACTTTTTCTAGGGGGAATCCTAGAAAGTTCTCGCTCTGTTCTTTCATAGGGCTTTGCAACGGTGTCAATCTGGCTTTAGCAATGGTAGAGTTTGATCTTTAGACATGGCTTGTCATTAAAGCGGCGGTCAGCAGCTAGTTTTGCCATCAAGCCGGGCTCTCCGCTCCCCTCTTCCACTGCACGTTGGCTTAGCAGCACATCAAATCAATATACTCTCGTCTTCTGAATTGTATTTATTTAAATGGTAGGTTGCTGCCTGAAGGCTCCCGAGATCAGGAACAGATGAAACTACGAAAAACATTAGAAGCAAACAGCACCAGCAGCAAATGATAGACGAGTTATATTACTCCTTTTGTAAACCACACTGAATTTTTTTTTGCAAACTGTGTGTGTGTGTGTGTGTTTGTACACACATGCACACATACATAAAAGTAGAGTTGGGAGGGACACCAAGGTTCGTCTAACCCACTGCAATGCAGGAATCACAGCTAAGAATCCAACCTCTGTTGAAAAACCTATGCAGTAGAGTCCAGCTCCATCCAAAATGGTCCACTGTCCAACAGCTCTTACTGTCAGCAGATATATACAGACCAACAATGTTAGCTCACAAACCCAGCAAAATAGCACACTCTTGATGGTCAAATAGGGGCTAGACAAACTCCATTTACTTGGGTGCCACTATGGAAAAGGCCTTGTTGCTGCCAGTGGCATCTCTGTTGGTGATGACAACTGAAGCAAGGTCTCATTAGATGGCAGGTTTGCATGGGAGAAGGGGTTCGTCTACAATTTGATGATTCTATGATTTAACTACTACAGATGCGCACCATATTAAGGAAGGGGGAGGAATGCATAAGTAAGCAAAAACAGCAAGGGTCTCATATCTCGCTCCCATTTTGAACCTTTTCAGGGGTAGAGATTGAGGGACATGTATAGAGTCCCTTCTTTTCCAGTCAAACAATCCTTGGAAACCCTGACAAGGGCAGAGGCAGAAGGGCGTACAAAGCAGGCAGTTCTCTCCATGCCCTGCTCTGCCTCCAGCGCCATTTCCTCTTGGCTTCCTGGCCCCTTTTCCCAGCTGCAAAACAAGCCAGAAAACCAAAGGCGGGCCAGGAGCTTGCATAGGAGTGAGGTCTTTCCTCCAGCTTCTATGAGCAGCTTCAAGAAGCATGGAAAGGGAAGCGAGCTGGTAATTGGGGAGCCAGGTGGCACCTGGTAGGGTGCTGGAGACCAGCCATGGTTGGCTCCTGAACTCAAACAGGAACCCTTGGAGCAGTACCGTTGGGGGATTGGCACAGCTTAATGTCATCAGCTATGAATGTACTGTGCATATCAACATTTCATTAGGAACTGAGTAGGTTTGAATTGTTTCCGCCTTTGGTGGAACTGTTGACAACCCATAATTTAGAGGATTAAATTAATTCCTGAAGCACACACATAGAATCATAGAATTGTTGAGTTGGGAGGGAACCCGAGGGTCATCTAGTCCAACGCCCTGCAATGCAGGAATCCTGCCCACCGCCATCCCAGGGTGGGCTTGAACCGCCAACCTGCTGGTTAACAGCCAGATGATTCACTGACTCATTGTGCACTTAGCATTTATATAGTGCATTATTTCAGTAAATCTTTACAACAGCCCTGTGAGGCAGGACAATGTTGAAATGACCCTTGTGGGTTTGTCTAAGGCCACCAAATGGGCTTATGGGTGAGCTGGGAGTTAGATCTGACATAGCACAATGGCTTATTAAGCTTTTTTTTTCTGGGGGTGGGGAATATAATGTAATGGCTAAAGTGTTGGACTTAGATATGGGAGACTCAGGTTCTAATTTCTTCTCTGGGGTAATTCTTGTCCTAACCTATCACAGAGAAGTGATAGAAGGGGAGAACATTTATCATCATCATCATCATTTACCTGCCTTTCAGCTTAAGATCCCAAGGTGGTTACAACAATTAAAACACACTGTTAAAAACAGTTTAAAAGAACTTACAATCACAGAAATAACAAGGGCCTTGAAAATATACATCTCAAGTGTCAAAAGCTGGGGCGAAGAGGTGTGTTTTCAGTATTTCCTGAAAGGTGTAAAACAATGGTGCCGGATGTACTTCTGTTGGATGGGAGTTCCACCACTTAGGGGTTGCCCCACAGAATGGCATTTCCTGGGTTGCCACCACCCTGAGCTTTTGAGGACAGTGGAACAGCCCAGACTCTAGAGATTGGCTTTCTCTGCCAATCTTACTACCTGGCAGGGTCTGTCGGGAAGGAGGTGGCCTTTCAGGTATCTGGAGCATACCTTGCATTGGGACAGGAAACAAGCTGGCCATCAGGGCAGCTGTTTTAAAAACAAATGGAATCCTGGCCAGTAATCTGGCTGCTGCAGTTTGGACCAACTGAAATTTCCAAGGCGTCTTCAAGGGCAGCCCCAAGTAGAATGTGTTGCAGTAATCCAGTCATAAGTTAACTAGAGTCAAGTCAGGTCAAGAGTCAGGTCAAGTCATCTTTGTCCAAAAGGGGTTGTTGCTGGCAAACCAGCAGGAGCCCCCTTGAGCTCCTTGAAGGCAAGGGAAGGGTTCGAAATAAATACATACAGTAGTTGCCTAACATGGATATAGCCAAAGTGAATTCGAAAAGGCATAGTTTAAAAAGAAGAGTGTTAACAAAACAGCACAGGACTTAAAGCAACACCTGGTGTAGCTTTGGTGTGTTGGATCTCCAGCAACCTGCAGATATTTTATCTGATGACCACACAGCAAGCTCCGACCTTTGCAGAACTAAAGATCTCTTAACTCAGTTGGTGGGGATGGAGGTGAATCCATGAAATGTTTTTGCTCTCCTCCGCATACCCAGAAAGTATTCTGTAGAAGAGGAAGGTTGGTGCTTCACTGGCCGTTAAGATTCAGAAAGGATAAAAGGGTCCCACTGGCCTTTTTGTGCTTCCAAATATTTAAACAGCTGCAGGAGAGACTGGGTAAAAATATTAGCACACTTAGCAGAGCATGACCAGCCTTAAATCTGATTTAAAGCTTATTTTCTTATAATGGCAGAGCTTGAGGATGGAAGGTTATCTCATATGCCCCGTTTGTTCTTTGTTCCTTGTTCATCTTTTAAAAAGGCTTCCTCCAACTTTGTGTCTTGTAGTGTAGAATTTGACCACAGGAGGAGCAAGTGCTATTGCACTTGAATCCTCTTGGCAGGTTCCCAGAATTGGATGCTGGACGAGATGGGTCCTCTTTAGCCTAATCCAGCAGGCTCTGCTTATGTTCTTATGTCAAGATTTAAACCAGGAATAAGGAAGCTGTGCCCCTTCCTATGTTATCTCCAGCTACCATTGGTCCCAGCTGGCATGGCCAACAGTCAGGGAAAGATGGGGATTGTAGTCTGACAGCATTTGGAGTGCCACAGATTCCTAGCAAGACAGAGAAAATGAAACCTTCAGCTTTATAACCCACCAGCTATTTGCACCCAGCCACAAAGCTCCAAAGGGAAGAAACAGAACTTCTTGAAAGATGTCCCCCATGACACATATGCTGCTTTTGGGAATTCATGCTGATGCGTAGACCTCTCAGTTTGGAAGACACAAAGGTTTCTGCAGAGGGCATTTTACCTTCATAAGTCCATAGTGAATTGTTTTCTTGGGTTTGCATGGAGAACCATGGACTTTTATCTACAGAGATAGAGGAATGAAGCTGTACCGTGTTGGAAATAGTAGAGTGGGTGGTACCACTTCAGAATACAAGTTGGGGAGGCTCCCAGTTTTGATTGCTGTTTCATACTCCAAGTAAAAACAAAAGAAAGCTGGCAGATAAGCCTAGGGATTCAATCTCGGTCTACTTCCCGCTGTTCTACTTTTCTGATTGCAGAGTGTTTTGTTTGTCCGTATGTAATGTACGGGAGCAATAAAGAGCATGGTTCACCCCGCAGTCTGAAATGATGCAGTTCATTCTACCACTTCACTCTGCTGCTGCCTTGTGTAGATCAGGTATCAACCTTCATGAACTGCCTGGGTTTTTACAAGAGTGCTTTTTAAGCATTCAGCTCATGGAGAGGCTGTAAGAGAAGGCTCAGGAAATCCAGCGCCAAGGGCATCTACTGTACCCGTTTCCAACTTGCTGCATGCGCTTGACTGTCCAAAACCAGGATTACAAATGAGCAAACATTTCTTTTTCTTTTTCTTTTGCACAAATGGGGCCTTTCTGCTTTGCCTCGTCTAATTTGGCCTCTGTTGGTTAATTTAAGAATCACTGCACCAAGCCTCAACCAATCACTTATTGATCGTTGGCAGAAAAAATGGCAGAAACGCTGTTCCTGATGTGAGCTGTAATGACTGCTTTCATTGGAAAGATTTTGATTTGGGATATCTGTGCACTGGCCAACAGCACATTCCCTTGGACCTATGCAAACAGTTGCATTGTCTCTGATATGGATCCTCGTGTCAGCAAAACAGCACCATCTGCACAGCAACAGAGGAAACCTGCCGTATACAGAGTCAGACCATGGGTCCATCTAGTTGAGTATTGTCTGCATTGACTGGCAGGGGCTCTCCAGGAATTCAGGCAGGTGTCTCTCCCAGCCCTACCTGGAGATGCCAAGGACTGGACCTGAGACCTCTTGTATGTGAAACAGACACTTATTTTTAACTTGCAGTTATTATTATTTTATTTTTAAAAATAGTTCTGGAGAGCATTCCAAAGCAATATCACCACCCCACTTCTCTTGTAGTCCAAAGTGGTGCAACTCAGTTGGTAGAGACTCTTAAATCTCAGGGTCATGGATTTGAGCCACACGTTGGGCAAAAGATTCCTGCATTGCCGCACATCGGACTAGATGGCCCTTGTGGTCTCCTCCAACTCTATGATTCTATGATTCTATGAATCCATTCTGCAGCAAGCCCTCTTTTATCCCAAATAAAGAAATGGCTGGTGTTTACCTCTTTGGGCTGAGAAAAGAAAGTAACAGTGGGAGTGTGCCCTCTAGAGGACTGGAAGGTGCACAGCACTTATGTCACCAGACTGCAGAAGCCACCCAACTGGGGCTTTTAATATTTGGAAGCATAAAAAGGCCAGTGGGAACCTTTTATCCTTCCTGAATCTTAACGGCCTGTGAAGCGCCAACCTTCCTATTCTACAGAATACTTTCTGGGTGTGCGGAGGAGAGCAAAAACATCTTTCATCAGTGCAAGGGGCTTTTTAAGTTGTACAAAGTTGAGAAGTAGTAAGTAGGTTGTATGTTGACAACATCTTAGCTCAGCTCAGTCAGCACACTCATTACCAGCTTTTCCCCATTCTGGGAGGGCATTAATCTTTTCTGATTCTTTTGCAACACAGGCAGAAAAGATGCTGTTTTCTTCCTTTCTCAGTAACAGGCCAGTTTGTGTAGGCAGGATCCTGGCTTGTGTGACAGATAAATGATGGTTTTTGAGGTCGTGTTAGCTTAAGGCCTGACTCAGTAGCTATGTCTTCGAAATTAACTCCCACCTTGCCCACCCTTGGCAGCTGCCCTGACTGGGACCACCAATTTATTTTGCACAGTTGGATTCTTTTCCATAGACCTGAGCACATGTTTGTCGCAAGAAGTCTTCAGGTGTGCTTATAAACCACAATTTTGCATAGAATGCCTTATGCATACTTTTGCCTGGAACCAAGTCTCCCTTGCTATTCTAATTGTTCAAGTAGCCATCTGTAACCCAAGTTGATCTGGCACAAAAAGAGCTGTTAAGCTCTCTGCCTTGCATGGGGAGTAAGGTCCCCTTTGCATGCTGGCTCTGGAAGCCTAGGGATGCTCGGGGGAGATCTCTTGGGAACTTGGATGGCTCCCACAATATTTCGTGATAGCTTCCCCAAATTGGTGTGCTGGGCAGTCCTTGCCCCCTCAAGCAAAGCAGAGAGCTTAAAAGATCTTGCTAAGCAACACCAAGCAGACCTGGCACAAAAAGAGCTTTTATTTAACCTGCACAATTTCAGCCAGTCTGCCTTCAAGTTACATGTATTTAAGATGTGAACATTCTCTGTAACATCCTAACATATCCTTACATATCTGACGTAATCCAGTTTCCATAACTTTAAAAAGTCACTGAACTGAGGATCTCTTTTAGTGCCAATTTTGGCTTCACTTGGTGCAGAATTCTAATTTGTTGGGTTTAGTGTGGGTGTTTATAGCACAGTATACACATCTGTCCTCAGCTGGGTTTAACTGACTTTTGTATCTGTTTGCGGGCACCTGCTTTCTGTCTGAATTTTCACTGGAGAAGATAAGCAGAGTCATATTGAGTCATTACAATGCAAGTCCCAGGGCATCCAAATAAAAACATGCTCCAAATTGCTTTGGAGTTTCTGTTATTTAGTTCAGCTCACATATGAGCAGAAGGCTCAAGATGGATTTTCCTGTAGCCAAATCTCTCTGCCAGGCTCTCTCTGGTAATGAATTTTGATTGCTAATTTGCTGGGTCAGATTGCACACAGTGGTAACTCGGAGATGAAAGTCCTCTTCTCTATTTTCTTGCCCTCCAGCCATCACTCTTGCAAAGTCCTGTGAAACCTTAAAGCTGTCACGAACTCCCATTCTGTGCATGCAGCTTCAATTAATATCCCAAATACCTATGTATTTGAAGTCATCCCTTGTTTCAGGATTTAGTTATTATCTTCTTACAGGAAAAAAATTGCATATCTGAAGTGAAGATTCTTAAAAGTTATTGCAGGGTTTAGGAAACCATTGCAAGAATATCAAACTTGAGAGGTCAGTGAATAGCCAATACAGCATATGGGTTGGGGATCTTTCCTAGCCTGGCACCCTTCAATTATTTTTGGACTACAATTCCCATCTTTTCCAGCCAGCAGGCCCAGTGGTCAGAGTGGTGGGATCTAAGAAGACCACTGGATTGATTTGTACAAGCCACACTCTCTTCTCATCCTAATCCAGGTGCAAATCTCACCTCAGTCAGGCATTATTCTAAAGTCAGACTACATATTATGCTGAGAAAAATGGGGATTAAGAATTTATGGGCATCAGTATCATATAAAAAATAATCTTGATGATCACAGATTTGCACACAAACCCTCCTTATACTGAATTAGACCATTGGTCCATCTAGCCCAGTGTTGTCTGCTCTGACTAGCAGTGGCCCTCCAACATTTCCAGGGGAGATATTTCTCATAACCTATCATGTGACTCTTCACTGTGAAGATGGTGCCAGGGCCTCAGTCCAGGTATCCTCATA